AAGATTTAGGTATTATAAACCTTATTAAAACAGACACTTATTTTGTTCAGCGAATCCAAAAATGCAATAATATACAGGACATTCCATTTAAAAAAAGCAACTGTGATACCTTTAGAGCCTTTGGTACAGTACAAAAATATTTTTAAAATGTAGGCTCGGTAGGCGTCGGACAATTCATCCAATAATACTTTTTAAAAATCAGACGGTTTAGCCGCAAACTGCCGTGCCGTATAGCGTGAATAACCCCGTATACATTTCTCTACAAGCTGAATACATATGTACAGAGATTTACGTATTTCAGGAAATAGAAGACATAGCGATTCCACTTCTTCAACGAACAGCCGACACAAATCGGTTCCTAAGAGCCGATGCAAACGCGACTCTGGATGTGATGTGCGAACACCTTCCAACTCACCGGGTAATCCCAGTGGTGGCGGCCAGGGGCTGTGCCCACCCTAATTCCGTTGTGCGAGCCGCCTCTGTGCGTTTGCTCGGTAAGACGGTAAGTCGCATGCTCTGAACCCTGCTTACCGGCACTTGTTCCAGGTGATCTGGTACGAAGACTGGGAGCAGAGCGGGTGTTCTGCATGCCGAAGGAGTTGCGCGATAAACTGCTGCTGGCTGGAGCGAATGCTCTTGCCGATGGCAATGTGGAGGCGCGATCGCATGGCAAGAGCATGCTGAAGCATTTGGTGGAGCATCCAAATTTCCAGAGGAACCTACGGGAGGCTGTGCCTCAAAATATCCTAAGACACATATCTAAAGTGCTGGCTACGATTAAGCCTGACGCGTAAATGTTTGGGAAGTTCGTCTTTGGCTCAATTTTCCTTTCCATGAAGTCGTTGTTGACACAGTTGTAATCGAGAGTTTACTCACTTTGAAAATTCGTTCAAAATGGGACTCAATCAACTTCAGAATCCTCGATTTTCACAATGTAAAACAATGTGGTTTTGAGTCATAGACCGAATTCTGTATTTAATTTATCTTCCACTTTCATTTATTTAGCTGAAACTTTTGTATTGTTACGTAGTCTTGTACTGTTAGATATTTTAATCAATGTTTAATAAAATTGGTCAATAACTTAAAATTCACTTATTGTCCCAACTAGTTGCAAATTGTTAAAAAAGTTGTTATTTGCATTAATTGAACTTCTTTTGGAACTTCCCTTCAGAGTTGTATATTATTTCTTTACTACCAACCTGAGAAGTCACGATTATTTACTCAATTTCTCTAGTGAGAAGTAATTTTTCTCCCACTCGGTGAATAATAATTCTAATATTAAAAAATACCCAGGTGAATAATGAAAGATGTGAATGAAGTTTTTCATTGCTTTTAGTTTGCCCACTTTTGTCATTTTCACTTTTAAATCACTGTAACTTTAAGATTCACTAATTTTTCGCTATTCTCAAAAATTTTTTGTCATCAGTTTTCTAAAGATCGACACACATACAATATATTATTGCATAAAACGCCTTTCAATCAATCAACTGGTTTGAGCGTAATAAATTTGGTGAAACTGCAGGAAAATTTTGTCGCAAAGGTTAATGCAAGTCTCACTTTCAGTAATTCTCAAAATTTAGCCCAAACCTCCGAGCTCCGAGGAAGCGAAACTTTGAGGAAACAAAGAGTGACTTTTACTCCATTTATTGTCACAAAAAAGGCATTTAAATGGCAACTAGTTTGGGCGTAATGCGTTTTTCAGCAACGGCTAGTAAATTTAGTCGCATTCGACGCACTTTGAATAATTCTCAAAATTCACCCCAAACCTCGGAGCAAATTACATTTTCGGAAAACATAGAGTGACCTTTGCTATCTTACAAAAAATGCATTTCAATCGCAATTAGTTTGGGCTTAACGCATTTTTCATCTAGAGCGAGGAAATTTAGTCGCAAACGCAGCATTTCGAATAATTCTCAAAATTCAGCCCGAACCTCGCAGCAAAAGGAACTTTGAGCAAATATAGAGTGACTTTTGCTCTATTTCTTGTTACAAAAAACGCGTTTAAATTGCAAGTAGTTTAGGCGTAATACATGTTTAAGCAACGGCGAGTAGAGTAAATTCAGTCGCAAAAGACGCACTTTGAATAATTCTCAAAATTCGGACCACACCTCGGAACAAATGAAACTTTGAGAAAACATAGAGTTTCTTTTGCTCTGTTTATTGTCATAAAAAATGTGTTTCACTCGCAACTGGTTTGGGCGTAATACGCTTTTCAGCAACGGCGAGTAAATTTAGTCGCAAACGACGCACTTTGAATAATTCCCAAAATTCAGCCCAAACCTCGGAGCAAATGAAATTTTAGGAAAACATAGAGTGACTTTTGCTCTCTTTATTGCTACAAATAATGCATTTCAATCGCAACTAGTTTGGGCTTAATACATTTTTCAGCAAGGGCGATTAAATTTAGTCGCAAACGACGCACTTTGAATAATTCCCAAAATTCACCCCAAACCTCCGAGGAACCGAAACTTTGAGAAAACATAGAGTGACTTTTGCTCTCTTTACGGTTACAAAAAATGCATTTCAATCGCAATTAGTTTGGGCTTAACACATTTTTCAGCAAGAGCGAGGAAATTTAGTCGCAAACGCAGCATTTTGAATAATTCTCAAAATTCAGCCCGAACCTCGCAGCAAAGGAAACTTTGAGCAAATATAGAGTGACTTTTGCTCTATTTCTTGTTACAAAAAACGCGTTTAAATTGCAAGTAGTTTAGGCGTAGTACATGTTTAAGCAACGGCGAGTAGAGTAAATTCAGTCGCAAAAGACGCACTTTGAATAATTCTCAAAATTCACCCCAAACCTCGGAGCAAATTACATTTTTGGAAAACATAGAGTGACCTTTGCTAACTTACAAAAAATGCATTTCAATCGCAACTAGTTTGGGCTTAACACATTTTTCAGCAAGAGCGAGGAAATTTAGTCGCAAACGCAGCATTTTGAATAATTCTCAAAATTCAGCCCGAGCCTCGCAGCAAAGGCAACTTTGAGCAAATATAGAGTGACTTTTGCTCTATTTCTTGTTACAAAAAACGCGTTTAAATCGCAAGTAGTTTAGGCTTAATACATTTTTCAGCAAGGGCGATTAAATTTAGTCGCAAACGACGCACTTTGAATAATTCCCAAAATTCAGCCCAAACCTCGGAACAAATGAAACTTTGAGAAAACATAGAGTGAATTTAGTTCTATTTATTGTCGCAAAAAACGCGTTTCAATCGCAGCTGGTTTGGGCGTAACACATTTTTCAGCAACGGTGAGTAAATTTAGTCGCAAAAGACATTACAAGTCACTTTGAAAATGTGTTTAAATTTCGGCAAAACTGAAACTCTCGACCTTTTAACAGACAACCTAAAACTGGAAGGAAACTGAACACCTTTTTGAGAAAAAAAGACACCGAACTACAGAATAAACATGATTAGTTAATCGTTTGCGGGTTCGTCTTTTCGATGATTCATGGTTTAGTTGGCAGTTCGATTTTAGTTTGTTTATTGTTGCCAATTTTGTAAAAAGCGTTTTGTAATTTTTGTATTTGAGTTTTGTAATTTCAGTAAATTTTGTAAAAAGTTCCAAGAACAAGTTTCACGTTCCAACTGAACCAAAGTCAACAACAACTAAACGAAAAACGCTCCCAACACTGATCTTTCACTTGTGATTTATGCACAACGCCACAACTAAAAAAACCGAATTAATTTTGATTTGCTAAAAATATTAACTAACCAAGAAACCCATGAATAAATCACTTAAAAATGAAACTGTTGCTCAATTTCCGAGCGATGATAGAAACCAACGAAATTTCAACTCACTCCAAGTGTCTTTTAAAAGTTCTGATTTGAAGAATTATGCTCCCTCAAGCTCATTTTGAGGTGCGGCGCAGTGAAGCGCGATGAGTTATAACTCATCAACTCAGAGAGCGGGGGCAGCAACCCAAAAGCGCAACTCAACACAGTGTTACCCAGGCCTAGTTCAAATTACACTATTTGAGTCGCGAACAGTTCAGCTCGACGAATTTCGACGAGCGCATTTTTTTGACAACATTTTGGCAACAAAGTCAACTGAACAGTGTTAGTCCACTGAAAATGTTCTCCCATTACAAAAATTCGTATTTACAAGCAAACTGCAAATCGTATAACCCCGGCGTGTTGAATCGCACAGTGCAAAGAGGTAAGCGGGAATTTATTGGAGTGAATCTACATCTCAATGGGACATTTTTCAGCTTGGGATGAGATTATTTACATCGATGAACATGACCTCTCGCCACCGTTTAATCGACTCACTTCAGAACAGCCGCATATTCCAGTGGAAAATGTGGACGCTACCAGAAGAGCTGAAGGATTTGGAAGATCTGCAATGCCCAAGCTGGTATATTTGGCCTTCTCTTAAAAATCTGTAGCCCAACCTTTTTCTTTCCAGAGAAGGGAGTTGCACCATAAGGACCTGGAAGTTGTTCTGGCCTCTCTTACAACGATTACCGATCTAGTTCACGATCCGGAACGATGCTACGAAGCAATCAGACTGAAAATAGTGGACAGGTGGGCAAGGTGGAAGGACTTACCAAAATTCCATTGGTTTATTTGGCGCTTAGGTTGGTGGACTTGGTAAGCCATGATGCTCCAGCGGTAAGAGAGCGGGCAGTTCTCACCTTGAAAGTAATGGCAGGAGTTGCAATGGGCAAAGAGGTCATTGTGAATAACGAGGGACTGTTGAGGAACCTGCTGGGGACCGTGGAAGATTCCTATTTTGAAGTGAGACTCCAAGGGGCGGCTTGTCTGGAAATGGTGGCTCGGTATTGGAAAAGTAAGTTTCAAATACTCTGAAACTAATGGGTTTTTCTGGTTTTTAGGCTGTCGTTCGGTAGAATTTCTTCTGGACGTTTCGCAAGCACGAGTTGCTTGCATCTTCAGAAGTAGTTTGCTTGAACGCTTGCACTGTTCCGATCAGTGTAAGCGGAAGAAATTCTACCGAACAACGGCCTAAAAACCCGAAAAACCCATTAGTTTTAATATATTCATGCGAAACGTCAAGAAGAAATTCTACTGAACGATGAGAATTTATTCCTGACGTTTCGCAAGCACGAGTGGCTTGCATCTTCAGAAGTGGTTTGCTTGAACGCTTACACTGTTCTCATCAGAACCCGTTCAGTT